GACAGATTAAAATAAAAAAAAATTATTTTTTTCTTAAGAGAGCAATGCATGACATTTAATTGAGGTTTCATGTACACTGAAAGTGGATTTAGCTCATAGATATGTAAAGTCTTTCAAATTTAACAGCTATGTGGTGTTTTCATGCACAGGATGTTTTCATACAGGACGTTTTCATGTAAATGCAACATGATTTTATGGTCTTTCAAATATATAATAAGAATTTATTTTTACAATTACAGATTGCTATTTAGATGCAAAACACTACATGAGACCTGCAACCAAAGTTTGTTTTCAATCTTACACATTTGAATTCAGCGACCTATCCAATTGTTGGTCACATTATGTTATTGGTAAGAATTGTTACAGTATTTATTCATCTTTGTTAATTTAACTGTTCATTGTTAGTTCATGTTAACAAACTAATGATAAAAAATGAAACCTTGGTAAAGTGTTACTTAAAAAACTGTTAAATTAATAAATACAACTTACTTGATTTCACAGTGAGCTTGGTACCCTGGGCAAATGTGACCTTGTTAACCCCTATTGCATTCTCACAGAGCTACACTGCGTAACAAAAACACCTTGACACAATTGGCATCACTTTATCTTATTTAAGGACTGAGAATGTGTTATATTTCAAGTTACGTTTTCAGAAATATTTTCTAATCATTTCCCTCTGATTTTGTTGCCATTCAAACTATTTTTCTAAAATAAACACAAACATTCATACTACATTAGTCATTACATTAGTCAAACACTAAATTGGGGTGTAATATACCATCAAATCCAGACAAAAAGCAGTTTTTACTTGAGCTTTTTTTTTTATAGTTTCAGAGGAGAGTTAACTGGTTTGTAAATGAGTAGAGAAGTAACTGGTTTTTATAACTATTATTAATGGAGAAGTGCTCATCATAAATTTTCAGAAGTCACTTTCTTGCATTACAGAAGACTTAAAATCAATAAAAAAATGATAAATCTCACCTGACTCCACTATAAGTTTTGTACCGGTGCCAAAGATTATCTTATTGATTCCCTGGTCATTCACACAACACTACACACTATGTCAAATACCCTTCATCCTCAACTGAGCAATATTTCTACATGCAAACTAAGATGGAAAAAATACAAAATATTACATTTATAATCTTTGAATTATCCCAAGTTATAATGAAAATTTTGCAGTCGTTCCACTTCCCTTTAATTAAAGAACTATAAATATAATATAAAAAACAAATAATACTTTCAAGCCATACTTTTCATGCAATTAAAGTAACAACAAAAGCTATTAAAAGTAATACTCACTGGACTGCACAATTAAATTTGTTCCAGATCCCATAAAGAGCTTGTAGCCTGAACCAGACGACCACAGTGTTGCATTCCCATACATAAAACCTCTTCCTACAATATAGAGATAAAAAAAATATATAGATTTAATACGAGATATCTTCACATCGTTATTTACCAAACTCTCAATGACACAATCTAAAAATAGACAATATACTTCTATATTTTGACATTCTTTCCCAATAAATTTAAACATTATCAAAGGCATGCCTAAAAAAAAAAAAATATTTTCAATTATTTTGAAATTGTAAAATTTTAATTATTGTTTTTACATTAGAGAATTGAAGGATTTTTACTATTTGTCTCAAATTTTGCCTGAGATAGCATACATTAAAATGAAGCCAGAGTCTTTAGTGGCTATAAACAATCACTGACATCTTTGAGAATATATCAGTGATTGTGATGCAACAGCCATATTTCATTTAAACATAATATTTGACTGGTGCGGTGAAACAAATTGAATAAATGCATTCAATTTTGTGGCAGTTTGAATCCTTACCTTAGTGTCACTACTCCCAATTTCCATCAGATCCTGGGATAGCCTTTTTCTGCACTTCCTGTGTAAGGAAGTGTTTTGAATGTGAACATGAGTTTAGCTACGGAATTAAAATAACTCCTACCTAACAACATATTAGACTAGGTGAAGAAACCATTCAAATGAAGAATACAAAGAAACTCACCTCTTCATATAGACATCAGTGTTCTACTGGCCTACTTTTACCTTGACACAAGGCCTTTTTGTTGCTCATTCCTGTCAACCTAAGCAGTGTCTAAAATAGGCTCATAACGTTTGGGCTTTTACTCGTTTTTGTTTTGTCAACCCATATTAAAACTGAATGTTTACAAGCTCTAAATAAACGTAGGCCTATCTGCTGTAAACAAAACACTTTTGAACGCCTCCTTGGATTCGATGGAGTAGCCTAGAAAGTAAAAGCACGATGCTATTGATGTCTCTTTTTTGTTGTTATTTAAAGGCTACACAATAGTGGGGTAAAGCCGGATTGAAATTGGGACATGAGACAAGCTAGACAAGAACCATTATCTCCTTAAGCAAACAGCTCGAGAGTTCAAATACAAGCAAAACAGGTGGAATTTGCGGAATCATAGAAGGTAGGCTGCTACCATTTAAGCTCAGGCGACCACTAGAGGTCACTATAGTCTGCCTGTTTAGACAACCAGCCTGACGGCATGCAAAAGCCTACTATAGACACAAGAGGGCAATAGCCTACACCTTGTATTTCATGGTCTCGGTTAGCAGCAAGCTCACATAAAAATGTGTGAGTGATAACATCTTACTTATTATACTTAATAAATAAAATTAACTGATTTGAAAGTACAATAGAACAAATATCTACTTTTAAGAGACTAGTAACTTACACTAATGTTCAATTTTTTATGTTTTTAAAATAAATCTCCTCTGCATTTATTTGATCCAAAAACTGTAGGCTATAGTAGTTAAATAGTAAAAACAGATATTGTGAAATATTTTTACAATGAAAAAATTACTGTTTTCTATTTGAATTTTCAACATTACTCCATTCTTCAGTGTCACATGATCCTTCAGCTATCATTCCAATATGTTGATTTGGTCTATTATCTATTATTTGTATTTTTTAGTACAAAAAATAAATAAATCAGGTTTTATTTAGAGAATGGAAAGTTCAAAAGGACAGCATTTGTCTGAAATAGAAAGTTTTTGTAACGATTATACACTCTACTGTTTAAAAGTTTGGGGTCAGTAAGATTTTTTTAAAAATGAAAGAAATTGATACTTTTAATCAGCAAGGATGTATAAAATGATCTAAAGTGACAGTAAAGACATTTATGACGTTAAAAAGCTTTCTTCTATTCATGCTTTGAACTTTCTATTTTCTATTGAACTCTTTTTAACATTGATAATAATAAATAATAATAACTCACAATATTATAATAACTAATAATAACAATGATTTCAGAAGGATCATATGACACTGGAGACTGGATTAATGAAAAAAAAATGACCCCAGAAGCTGTAGATGCGAGACTTATTTTACAGCTGTTTTTCGCTTTATATCACAGAGGCACTGAGGGGAAAACACTTAGCAACAAAACACAGTAATTCTTGGAACCCGAAGCGAGCAGTAGATCTTTATCCAAAAGTGTGGTTCGCGTCTGCCTAGAGCAGCAATGTGCTGTTGAAACTGTGGTTTAGACATTCTCGCATGAAACTTTTTTCATGAAGGCATTTTATTACATGATTAAACAAAACAAAAATCATATTACATGAAAAAAGTAATTAAGTCAAATAATAATCAATAACACAATTACACAATGTAAGAGTCTTGAACTCTTTGATACCACTATGTAAAAAAATATATCTTGCTGATTTAAAAAGCATAAAAATACTAACTTGCACTTTTATGAAAAAAAAAAAAAAAAATCTAGGAAGACAACAAAGCAATATGCACATTACACCACTGGATTCAGAAATGATTATAATGTAAAAAAAAAAAAAAAAAAAAAGACAATAGGTTGTATCTATGTTTTGTATTTTAACTGGTAACACTTTACAATAAGGTTCATTAGTTAACATTAATTAATGTATTTACTAACATGCACTAACCATGAGCAATACATTTGTTACTGCATTTGTTCATTTTTGTTAATGTTAGTTCATGAAAATACAGCTATTCATCATTTGTTCATGTTAGTTCACGGTGCATTAACTGATGTTAGCAAGATTTTAATCAAGTATTAGTAAATGTTGAAAATAACATTAACAAAGATTAACAAATGCTGTATACTGTATGTGCTATTCATTATTAGTTCATATTAACTAATACTAATATTAACTAACAAACCTTATTGTAAAGTGTTACCTTTTAACTGCATTACTAACAATTTGTATTGTTAATTCCATTTAACATTAACAGACAGAGATATAGATAAATATTGTCACTCACTAAAATCGCATTTGTTTGTTGATCCCAGGGTCTGATCAAGCGTCAGTTAAGAAATCCTATTTGCTGAATTGAACTATTAAAATAGAAATGCCTTTACAGTCATCAATACGTTGACTGCAACACATTTAGCCAGCAGAATTCTCAGACCTGTCACAAGAAGGGTCACAGACTTCATTTTTGGTTCATCTGAGAAAAAGAAAAAGAAAATTTCAACACAAATTGAATTTTCCCTTGATGTTTAATTTACTTATATAGCATAATGCATAATGTAGATGACTAATGCAAGATACATATATGTGTAGCATATAATATACTGTATTTTATTACTAACCGCTGTTTAACACTGAGACTGGAGTACTAGAAGCATGTGTTTCACAAGTCACTGGATTTGGTTTATCAGGACTTTCTGCAGAATAAGAATTAAGTAGAAAACAATATATATATATATATAACGTACAATACTTAAAACATTAAATCACATAAAATTTAAAAAAAGAAAAGCGCAATTATCAATTTAAGTACCTGTCACAGGAGCAATAGGGGGTTGTTCCGAGTTTTCTCTGATTTTGCCATCCACTTGGCATTTTTGGATTTTTTCACCAGCGAATCCAGCATAATAATAGGTTTTGCTGGATTTGAACAGTTCTGCATTGTTGGTATTTAGATTCACAGGGCTTTTACTTTCCAGAATCAATTCCATAGTCTTTTCTTGAGGAAAGAACCCGCCGGCCAAACAAATATCCTGTTCTTTGACCTTGTTATCCTGTTCTTTGCCCTTCAAAGGGGACAGGATGGACAAAAAACCCGGAGGAGTCGGCGATCCAACTAAGCAAAGAAAAATAAGCAGTTTTCATCGATTTTTCAAATCTTTAGCAAGACCGTACTTTCTTTACATGTAGTATTTGCAAAACTAAGCCCATAATGTAGTGAAAACACCTTGCAGTCATCTATGCATGCATTTAAGATCACTAGTTGTATGAACAAATATAATGACTCTATTACAAACATTTTCTTCAGAGCAATGGGTTAACACTAGTAAACATACTGTGATCCCAAGCTGAACACAACCAACTAAGCAACTAACAAACATCATTTGAACCTAATTGGTGTTTCCACTAATTTCTACAGCAAACTGGTTGGTGTAAAAGCATGCAATAGTACAAAAGAAGCACTTACTTGGTGAGACAGTGAGGGTTATCGGCTTTCCGAATGTTAAAGTGTCAGTAGCTGAAAATGCACTGCTACCGTATCCCTTACAAAAACACTTTTGACCCTACATCTGCATTAGGACTGACAAACTGACCTAAATAAGCCCCATTTACAACAACTAACTAAGCAAAGTTCGCTTATTCACAAAACCAGGTGCATGGGTTGGACAAATGCTTTATAATAATAATATTGAAGTGGATTTACTTACTTGGTGTGACCGTGAGACGGATGGGAGCTCCGAAAGTTAAAGGCTCTGCACTTCATTCAGCCCTCTGACAATATCCTTTGGTAATGGAAAGTATCTACATATCTTAAGAAATATAATATAGACTCATCTGAAATTAGATATGAAATAGCCCGTTGAAAAGATCCAGTTTGATTTTCTTTCAAAGAGAATTCTATCTGCCGGTCTGTCCTCATGATAAACATGTCTGCTCCATTCAGATACAAACTGGTGACTGGAACAAACGCCTTCAAAACAGAAAACAAGATAATAAAACCTGTGATCATTAAGTCTTTCAGTCAGATATTGGTTTAAAGCTATTAATGCAATTTATAAATGGATGTTCTTTCCTAACAGTGCTATGAGATTTTGTACAGTCACTAATGAAGAATCTATCACTGTGGTACTCCCAAACACAATGAAAAACGTCAGTACAAAAACCTGACGCAATGTGCCCTGTGTTGGGGGGTTGTCTTATACGGAAGAGAGACTGAAAAGCTGTCTTCTGAAAAAGCTTCTCAATAGACATATTTGACTAAAACTATGTTAAAAATCCATAGCCATGAGATGAAACACCAAGCTGCGGTGGAAATCTGCATGTCCAAGATGACAGAACAACCTCAGAAGAATCTTTCAGCGCAGTGGCAGCTATTTAAACTCTTTGAGGTTTTTGTATGAGACAAAGCAAGAAGTGAATCACTGTGGTACCCCAGTCCACACTGACACAACCCGACACAAAAACTAACAGCCAGCCTCTGTCAAAGAGCAAACAATGGCACATCAAACAGAATAACTTTTTACAAAAAATATATGGAGAGATTGATGCCTAAAACACTCGATGAAAAGTCTTTAGAAACTTTTAGTAAATAATTGGTCTTACCATACATTTGGGATCTTGTGACAATGTAAGAACAATAAGTGAGAAATATTACAGATTCTACACTTTGTGGATCTGTCTGTAATTACATAATACTTAATAATAGGCCTACTTTATTTGTAACACAGGCATTATAATTCAATTCAATGCACGTTTATTTGTATATCACTTTTTACACATTTCAAAGCAGCTTTACAGAAAGGGCATGAGTCCATATTACAGTTTTAGAGTGTTCTGGACCCAGGGGTTCAGGGGGCCAAAGCGGACCCGAGGGTTCAGGGGGTCAAGGTGGATCCGAGGGCTCAGGGTGCCAAGGTGGATCCGAGGGTTCAGGGGGCCAAGGCGGACCCAAGGATTCAGGGGGCCAAGGCAGACCCGAGGGTTCAGAGGGCAAAGGTGGATCCGAGGGTTCAGGGGGCCAAGGCGGACCCAAGGATTCAGGGGGCCAAGGCAGACCCGAGGGTTCAGAGGGCCAAGGTGGATCCGAGGGTTCAGGGGGCCAAGGCGGACCCAAAGGGGATCAGGGGCCAAGGCGGACCCGAGGGTTCAGAGGGCCAAGGTGGATCCGAGGGTTCAGGGGGCCAAGGCGGACCCAAAGGGGATCAGGGGGCCAAGGCGGACCCGAGGGTTCAGGGGGCCAAGGTGGATCCGAGGGTTCAGGGGGCCAAGGCGGACCCGAGGGTTCAGGGGGCCAAGGCAGACCCGAGGGTTCAGAGGGCCAAGGTGGATCCGAGGGTTCAGGGGGCCAAGGCGGACCCAAAGGGGATCAGGGGGCCAAGGCGGACCCGAGGGTTCAGGGGGCCAAGGCGGATCCGAGGGTTCAGGGGACCAAAGCGGACCTGAGGGTTCAGGGGGTCAAGGTGGATCCGAGGGTTCAGGGGGCCAAGGCCGACCCAAAGGGGATCAGGGGGCCAAGGCGGCCCGAGGGTTCAGGAGGCCAAGGTGGATCCGAGGGTTCAGGGGGCCAATGTGGACCCGAGGGTTCAGGGGACAAAGGCGGATCTGAGGGTTCAGGGGGCCAAGGCAGACCCGAGGGTTCAGGGGACCAAAGCGGACCTGAGGGTTCAGGGGTCAAGGTGGATCCGAGGGTTCAGGGGGCCAATGTGGACCCGAGGGTTCAGGGGACAAAGGCGGATCTGAGGGTTCAGGGGGCCAAGGCAGACCCGAGGGTTCATGGGGCCAAGGCGGATCCCAGGGTTCAGGGGGCCAAGGCAGACCCGAGGATTCATTGGGCCAAGGCAGACCCGAGGGTTCAAGGGGCCAAGGCAGATCCGTGTGTTCAGGGGGCCAAGGCAGACCCGAGGGTTCAGGGGTCCAAGGCGGATCCGAGGGTTCAGGGGGCCAAGGCGGACCCGAGGATTCAGGGGGCCAAGGCGGACCCGACGGTGCAGGGGTCCAAGGCGGACCCGAGGATTCAGGGGGCAAAGGCAGATCTGAGGGTTCAGGGGGCCAAGGCAGACCCGCGGGTTCAGGGGGCCAAGGCAGACCCGAGGGTTCAAGGGGCCAAGGCAGACCCGAGGGTTCAAGGGGCCAAGGCGGACCCCATGGTTCAGGAGGCCAAGGCAGACCCGAGGGTTCAAGGGGCAAGGTGGATCCCATGGTTCAGGAGGCCAAGGCAGACCCGAGGATTCAGTGGGCCAAGGCAGACCCGAGGGTTCAAGGGGCCAAGGCAGACCCGAGGGTTCAGGGGACAAAGGCGGATCTGAGGGTTCAGGGGCCAAGGCAGACCCGAGGGTTCATGGGGCCAAGGCGGATCCCAGGGTTCAGGGGGCCAAGGCAGACCCGAGGATTCATTGGGCCAAGGCAGACCCGAGGGTTCAAGGGGCCAAGGCAGATCCGTGTGTTCAGGGGGCCAAGGCAGACCCGAAGGTTCAGGGGTCCAAGGCGGATCCGAGGGTTCAGGGGGCCAAGGCAGACCCAAGGATTCAGGGGCCAAGGCGGACCCGACGGTGCAGGGGTCCAAGGCGGACCCGAGGATTCAGGGGGGCAAAGGCAGATCTGAGGGTTCAGGGGGCCAAGGCAGACCCGCGGGTTCAGGGGGCCAAGGCAGACCCGAGGGTTCAAGGGGCCAAGGCGGACCCCATGGTTCAGGAGGCCAAGGCAGACCCGAGGGTTCAAGGGGCCAAGGTGGATCCCATGGTTCAGGAGGCCAAGGCAGACCCGAGGATTCAGTGGGCCAAGGCAGACCCGAGGGTTCAAGGGGCCAAGGCAGACCCGAGGGTTCAGGGGGCCAAGGAGGATCCGAGGGTTCAGTGGGCCAAGGCGGATCCCAGGGTTCAGGAGGCCAAGGCGGACCCGAGGATTCAGTGGGCCAAGGCAGACCCGAGGGTTCAAGGGGCCAAAGAGGATCCGAGGGTTCAGAGGGCCAAGACGGACCCGAGGGTTCAGGGGGCCAAGGCGAGGCGAGGATTCAGGGGGCCAAGGCGAGGCGAGGATTCAGGGGCCAAGGCGGACCCGGGGGTTCAGGGGGCCAAGGCAGACCCGAGGGTTCAGGGGCCAAGGCGGACCTGACGGTTCAGGGGGCCAAGGCGGATCCGAGGGTTCAGGGGGCCAAGGCAGACCCGAGGGTTCAGGGGGCCAAGGCAGACCCGAGGGTTCAGGGGGCCAAGGCGGATCTGGCGGAATTTTAAACGTTTTTTTGTTGTTGTTGTTGTTGTTTTTTGTTAGAATATTCTTGTGCTAATTGAGTTATAACAATTGTTAAAGTTCTGTATTGGTACATATAGTGCACTAGTCGGGTAAACGTGACTGCTACTGACCTGCACAGTTAAGTAATGTACAATTACAAATATTGTAGCTACATGATGTAGGCCTAGTAAATGTATTTTTTTACCTCAATAGCTAGTACACATGCAACACGTGCATATGTAATATCAGAATGGCATTTAAAACTTAGCCTACAGTAAATGCTGATTCACACCAAGGAACATAATGACGAATATACGGTTTTAAAAATCTTTCTTAAATGTAAAAGAAAAGCAAACGAAGAGATCTTTGGAATCACCTTTTTTTCAGCTTATGAACAATAAAAACATTGACAGCCAATTGCGTTGGTGCGTGCATGGTCATTCCTTACGCTAATCGTTCTTGTTGTGAACAAGCCTTAATGTACATATTTTGTATGATAACTACAGTACCATTGTAATAAACTGTCATTTATGTTAACTTTTAGTTTATATTTTAGTTGAAATTCAAATACATTGATTCTGACTCTTGACTTAACATTACTAAATGTGCAATTTGACAGTGTGTAGGCCTAAGTGATTTATTGTAGTGTTAAGAGCTGTCACACCATGACTGAGGGTCTGGTCAAACTGAAACTAACATCATATAACAAGGTAGGAAACACATGCATTTTGAAATCAAATGACAAGAGTTTTAGTAGGGGCTCCTCAAAGATTGAATCAACGTGCCCCCGAGTACACACTGAAATATTCTGTGGCAAAAACGGTTCAATGGAGTTTGCATTAAGGAGAGATGATAACGCAGCTGGCGTATATGTGGTAAGCTGATCTTCAACCACTGTGGTTTCCTGTCAGGAAGTGGGTGAGGAGCTGAGAGGTGTTCTAAGAACAACCCGTCCCCTTCCATTTCTAGACAGCATCAACTTCACAGCTCTTTCCTCTGTGATTTACACTAAACCCCATTTCCCTCTTCTAATTATAAAGTCAATTTTGCACCAATTAAGATTTATAATAAATTAGACAACGACAAAAATTAAAGCATCAGTGAGCAAAGAATGTAAAATATTTTTACAGGATTTAGTAATGGTTTCATATTCATATACTTTAAAGGGATAGTTCACCCAAAAATGAAAATTAAGTCATTAATTACTCACCCCCATGCTGTACCAACCCCGTAAGACCTTAGTTCATCTTCAGAACACAAATGATGATATTTTTGATTAAATTTGAGAGCTGTATCACTAATGGCACCCTAAGGGATTGAAGCTTGACGGCCCAGAAAGTCATTGAAGAATGTTTAAATATTCCATGTGACAACAGTGGCTCAACTATAAGTTTATCAAGTGACGAGAATACTTTTTGTGGGGAAAAAACAAACCCTTCCTTTTCTTCCTTCTGGGCCTGAGACGAGAGTTCAAGAGATTTCCACACCAACTAATCTGGAATTGCGCGTACATCAGAGAAATCATTCTTTCGTCAACAAGGCTAACGTTAGCTGCCATCAGAGTTTGAAATTCATTTCACGCAAAATTTCTAGTTAGTTGGCTGTGGCGAGCAGGCAAGTAAGTTACCAGTAACTTACCAAGTAAGTTAGTTGGCTGTGGCGAGCTCCTCCATCTCCACTATACTCTGACTCGTAAAGATAGCCATGAACATCAGATTCGAGCAGCAGACTTTCAAAATCATCTTCTTCCATATCATGTTTAGTTTCTTCCGTCATTATCATACTTCCTATCTCCACAGCGCTTGTTAGCTTAGCTTCCAAAAACAAAATGGCGGATATTGATTTCAGTTCATGCCTGTCTATGGTTTTTGCAAGTGAAGTTCCACCCACTGATCTGTAGTAGGCCTGTAGGGTGAATGGGTTCCACACCATTGAATAATAATGTAATGTTTGTAGTCTCTACAGATTTTAATGAAATGTGACTTCCTGCTTATTATGACGCAAAATGACGATTTTTACGTCATAATAAGCAGGAAGTAAAACACTTAAATCCTTATTTCTCCCACCTCAGGGGAAATAAGGGAATAAACCATGACCATTCAAAAATATGTCTGGGTTTCTAAAGATACAAAGCTTAATGCAAATGGGTGAAGGTTTATCACAGAAATATGTAAAAATAGAAGCTTTCTTACCTGTACGTGACACCATTTTGCAGATGTGAGACATGAAGCAATGACCAAATCATATTTTATAAGGGTACTGAATATTTTTAACAGCTACACCATAGCGTATTGGTGAAAAAAGCATAATACCAGGCACAAACAACAATGTTAAAACGTATTTTCCTGTAATCATGTGGATGTAACGGTCATCAGTGTCTAACGGAATTAGACAAACTCAAGTGTGAGGTACAGAAAAGGTCCAAAGTCTGCTTATGAGGACATGGTTTATTTTATTAAAGGCATAGCTGATTCCAGCGTTTACAAGTGTCCACAAAGAGACAAGAACACAATAAATCAAGCCCATTATAGAAGGAGATATCCGCAAAAACCAACTATTCCCTGACAAAATCCTCTAAAAAACAAAAGAAAAAAAGAATTTGACTGGATATCTCCCTCATCCAAAATACAAGGCATTCTGAAAGATGGATTTCATGCAGAATTTCAAGAGTGTCAGACTCAATTCAGGGTTGGGACAAACTTTCATAGTGGTAAATTTAATGTAAAAAGCTGGCTGTTTATTTTTTCATTTTATTTTTAGCTTTATTATTGGAATGTTATGTCACGGCCCAAAGGCGCAAGGCTGTTGTCCTGTGATCAGCATTGTAATGTACATCACTACAGAAGCCACAGTTAAAAGATGGATACTGGACAACAGGGAAAAATCCACATTTACAATGCAGTGAGATACGGGGTATCAAAAAAAGCACATTCACACAAGACTGTGCACTACAAGTCCATCCAAAATAAAAGAATGTTAGACGTCCACAGCAACCAATCAGATCACAGGCTTCTGAAAACTCCTTACTGAACAATTCTAAGAGGAAAACAAAAAAATGAACAAAATGAGGCCTCAGCTCCCGCTGAAACTTTGCTTGTAGAATTATTTTATTTTTTGCAAATGATATTTGGACTTTTAAGATTCCACGTAATTATTAATTCCTCTTTTTTTAAATACAATTTTAAATGCAACAAGAGAAGCACAATCACACGGCAAATAGACACATCATTTAAAGTTTGTCTTTAATAAAATGTTCTCTACTCAAAAATAAAAACACGCTTTATTCTCATCATACAAGAGAGTACGTCTTTCATATAACCTTCGCCGAACAAAACGCATTGCTTAACCAGGAAGAATGAACCACTGTGAACCCATTATAGATATCTCAGCCTATCCAACACTAACCCCTGGCCCCAGAACATTTACCAAACAGTGGCACCCATTACAAGGTCTTGAAGGCTTACTCAGTGCTATATCCTCTACTGAAAAGAGAACCGTTAGTTTTCAAAACAATATTTGATTTTGACCTTGGCTGCAAACAGGGCGTCTATGATGATGTGACCACTTTCTAGCGCACAATCGCATGAGAAACAGTCACTTGACGCAAACCTGAGGCAACTGATGATATACATTACGAGATTTCAGAGTAAAGCAGTAATCGGGCTGACGCTCTTCCTCTTTTTTAGTGCTTAGCATAACGGGAGCGAGGGAAAGCATCCTTCCAGACTTGTGGTCTGTGGTTTTTAAACCGATCAGAATGCAGTTCTTGAGGAGATGGTACCTGAAAGAAGAACAATTCAGTGGCTGTGAAGTTGCTGTGGGAAAATGGGCTTCCCCGGCTTGCGTCCCTTTCTGACAAGCCAACAGCGTCGCAGCTTGACCCGTTCGCCTAAGTTTCCCAAACCTTCCCTACAGTGCCAATGTGATCGCGATTCTAACGATTCCTCAAAACAAAAATAGAGAAAGAACAACAAAAGGAAGGGAGAAAACACAGACCAGGCACAAAGAGAGCTGATAAAGCTTAAAACTATTAATAAAAAGGCAGAACAGGAACAAAAGAAGCCGTTATGCTGGTAAGCTAGAGTAAAGAAATGAGGAAAGGAGGGAGAAGGGGAGGCACACATATATATCGAATGAACTCCCCCATTAGCAGTAAACTATTGAACATATTTACTGAATAATATTTCAGAGAGCTAAAACTGCTACAGAACAAGACACAAAATACAGTATTGTTAATAATTGCAGTCTCTATTGCAGCTAATGATACTACATCCTACATCTATAGTCTAACCCCCAACTCCGCTTGATACTGATTGAGCTATAAATGTCGCTATGAGCTTCATAATGGTTCGAACTTTAGAGACGTTCCCTGTCCCGTTCACCAAACTCTTCTTACAAATCAACAGACTGTACATGACAACACCATGATCCATGCCTGTGTCAATCTAAGTCCTAATATTCGAGCACATTCTCTAGATGCGCACGTTCACGCCGATTGCATCATCCTTCATTCATTCTGTTTTTTTTATTTATTTTTTATTCTGGACATAGCGACACGAATCCCTCTGAGAAAAAGAATCCAGACTTGGAATAAAACAAAACCACTCCTTTTTTTTTTTACCCCTCGTAAAAACCACATCTGCTGTCAATAAACATCCCTTTCCGACACGCACGCCCACACCTAACTCCACGTGCGGCGTGCCGGTCGCACAGAGCGATTTAAGCAGGTGGCATGTGGGCGTCTAGTCCAGAGTCTTAAGTCCAGATGAGACAGGAGAATGACCTTTGACCCCCAGAGGAAGCGAGGTGGCAATCAGAGAGAGTTTGTCCCCTCATAGTCAGTGTTCTGCAGCGGCTACGTGCTGAGCAGCGTGACAGGTCAG